ATAGCATCAATAATTATTGTGAGAGGTGTGAGACTAATCATGAAAAACATTGCTCAACCCGCCCATAACCGCGGGCACAGCTATTCGAATAGTTTTACTCTGGCCAGAGGTGTACCACTGTACCCACAAGACACAGCCTCAACATCATGTCTACCATGCGTCGCGATATTGGAAAGTACCCGAATAGAGGCTGTGACAATACCCTCTGCACAACATAACTCACCACAGTGCACCATTCCTGGATCATAATCACCCCCTTATAAAACAAGGCATGGACTCCCCAGTGACCCCCGTGGGCTTATCTCCGCCACTTCTCAGTCTGGTGCTCCGCAATGAATCATGCTATACAAAAGATAAAGCCGTTGCCCACGCTGGCTTGTGGTTGGCACGGTTAATGTTTCACAACAGTAGCTCGCGAACCGGTCCTTAATTGCCATGAGCACGACTCTCAAAACCATGTGCTCACAACCCACCATTATCAAGTTTTAGTTGGCAAGTAATTAATTAACCAATCACGATTGACCATCGTGAACTATCATTAAGCCATCATTAAATAATAGTGAGTCATAAGTTATCCCAATAGTGTGCTAATGTTTCTAAGCATGGCTAAGCAATCATATCTAATATCAAGCTGAACCAATATATAAAGCTCAACTAGTCAAGTTATAATAACCCAAGGTATCAAGGAATAAAGTAATCAATGCAAACAGGCCATAACAAAGGAATAGATTCACACCACCCAATGGCATTCGAAAATAAATGCACAGTTGAAATAAATAGAGAATTTAAATATAGGAACAACATGTTCAAAGGATTGTGTTTAGGATCTGTGTGACTTGCCTTGCAATAATCGGTCTTCAATTAATCTTCTTGAATACTTCCGGCGCACTCGCGAACCTTCGCAACGACGGAAACGACAAGCTAACACGCAAAACGAAGAAAAAGACTAATAAAAACCAAATAAACAATACATAAAAAGTAAACAAACATGTAGATCATGATTTTAGATGAATTATGAGACTTGAACGGCCTCATTCTGACTTCATATGAATTTATTATGAATTTTACAAGATTAAATCTAATTAAAGCCCATTTAAAAGGAATTAAATAAATTTAATTCAATTTATGGATAATTTTAATATGTAGATCTTTATTTTATATAACTTTTGCAACTTGAACCACATTAAACTGAGTTACAATGAATTAGTTATGAATTTTTAAAGATTAAATCGGATTAAAACACTTATATGGATTTTAATTGAATTATGACGCAATAATGAATTATTTTTGAAAAGGAAAAGGGAATTATTGCGTCAGCGGCTAGGGTTTGCGGTGGACCGGGTGCACGGCGGCGGCTCACGGGAACGAACGGCCGAGATCGATCCTATCCAAAACGGACGGCCGAGATCGATCAGTCCACGACCGGGCCACGGCAGACGGTCCCGATGACGTCAGCGATGACATCAACACCGGCGGCGGCTCGGCAACGCATGCTCGCCGGCGAACGACGGCTCGACGACGCAAACGGAGGACACCAACGGGTAGAGGGCGACACGGCGAACTCACCGGTGACCAAAACAACGGCGGAAAAGCAACGGACGGCGCCGACGACGAGGAAGAAGCGGCGGCGGTCTTCGGGTCGACGGTGACGGCGGTGCTCCGGCGATCGACAGCGACGGCGGAGGGGCGGACGAGGACGGCGACGCGACGGCGACCACGACGGTGACCTCCCCGAGCGACGGCGGCGACTGGAGCGATGGCGAAGCACGGCTGGAGCGGCGGCGACGACAACGGCACAAGGTTACACGGGGCTAGGGTGCTACCGACGGCGAGAGACGAAGGCGAGGGTGGCGGCGGGTAGAGGGAAGCTCGGGGGTCCTTTTATAGGGGCAAGGAGGTGGAGGCGAAAGCCCACGGCGACCGGCGGCGAGATGGAAAGCTAGGGTTCGGAGGAGAGAGATCGATCCGAATCGAACTCGAATCCACGGATTTCCAAACGAAATTAGCCGACGATTCCATAAGAGAAAAGATAGAGTGGATCGCGGGGATCTTTTCCCCTCTATCGATTCGGCCGGAGATGGAAAGGAGCGATGGAATTTGGAAGGGCGGCGGCGGCTTGCGCGCGGCTAGGGCACGGCTGCGGCGGCGCGAGGAGGACGACGACCCCGACAGGTGGGTCCCGCCTGTCAGCGGCTGAGAGAGAGGAGGAAGGGGCGCGGCGGACTGGGCCGACTGGACCGGGGAGGGAGAGAGAAAGAGAGAGGTTTTGGGCCGGCTTTCGGCCCAAAGCCAAAAGAGACTTTTAAAAACCTTTTTCAATTTAAATTATTCATGAAATACAATTCCATTTATTAAAAATACTTCCTTAGCTCAAATAAATCCCAGAAAAATCTAGGAATTATAGAATTAAGCAAAGTATTTAACAAAATTTTATCTAGCCCAATTTTATATTGAGATTTAGCAAATTAAAATTAGATCTTATCTTTTAGGCTTTTAAGATCATTTCTAATTATTCCTTTTAAACAACAGTTTATAATTTAAGGATTTTTAAACAAGAAAAGCTCTTAACAATTATAATTAGATCATTATTGATCAAATAATTACTGAACTGTTCTTTGTATCATTTAGGAATTGAGCTCTGAAAAATCCGAGAAAATTTCAGAGAGTTGACTTAATCATGGAGAATTTAATAAAAATTAAATCCACCCATGCTTTATATTTAGGAAATTTTATTTCCCACATTTAACTTCACTTGTAAATTAATGAAGATTTAATATAAATTCTAATAATAATTTATTAAATAATTTATAAATCCTGAAACGAAAATCAGGATGTGACAACACCCGCAGTCAAATGGGGCGGCCGAACGTACAAATGGCAAGATCCTAAAAGCACTAAAGAAAAGACTCGAGGGGGCAGCGAAAGGCAAATGGCCAGAGGAATTGCTATCGGTTCTCTGGGCCCTTCGGACGACCCCCACAAGACCAACCAAGTTTAGTCCGTTTATGCTTCTTTATTGCGATGAGGCAATGACCCCAGCAGAGCTAGGGGCTAACTCACCAAGGGTGATGTTCTCTGGGGGCGAAGAAGGACGCGAAGTATCGCTCGAACTCTTGAAAGGAGTAAGAGTCGAGGCGCTTGAGCACATGCACAAGTATGCCACAAGCACTTCGGCAACTTACAACAAAAAAGTTCGACCCACGGAGCTGATGCCTGGTCATTTCGTCCTAAAGAACAAGGCGAACCCAGTAGCGGTTGGCAAACTTGAATCAAAGTGGGAAGGGCCATACCTTATCAAACACAAGTCCAGGATGGGATCTTTTTGCCTAGCGACACTCGAAGGCGTGGAGTTCGACCATTCCTAGAACGCTGCCTCTCTCAAGCGCTTCTATGTCTAGAATGGGTGGCACCCAAATCGCCAAATTGTAAAAATGTACATACTGTCATGTAAGCCCTTCAGCACTATATAAGCCCTTCGGCACTATGTAAGCCTTTCGGCAAGAAAAAAAAGAAGAAAGAGAGAAAAAGAAAAAAAAAACTAGATGTAGGGCTATTATCCACCATGGAGGCCCTAACCAGTATAAAATCTCTGTGTCCTCCGCCTTCTTCTTATTTTTCGTGTGATTGATAATTTGTGGAAAAACCCCAAGGAAAACGCCTGATCAGCGAAAAAGGCCAGGGGGGCGAAACGAATCGGCCGAAGCATCGCTCGCCGAACGTTGAAACCGCAACAGCTTGTCTCGGAAAATAAATAGCCGAACGACATTACGTCCGATCAGCATAAAAGCAAAAGCGCTTCTCTCGACACAGAACGCTACAGATCAAAGATGAACGACGAAAAGCTGAAAAGTCAGTACACCTATTTCGCTAATATATGCAAAGGGGCCGGCATGTTCCGACCTAACGGAAGCACAAAATGTGACGATGCAAACAATAGCGAAAAGGAAATAAAACACGTCTTTATTAACTTCGAAAAAAATAATCGAAGAATAGAAGTTTCACAACACGACATAATTCACCTTACAAGTAAATTACATCTTCGTCCCCATAATCACTATCCCTCTCTAAGGAATGATAAGGCGAACTAGGTTCGTCATCACTACTAATATCGTACACAACCTTAAGAGGAGTGGGGGGTGCAACACAAACTAAACTGTAACGACGCTGAAAGTTCGTTCCCTGACGATTAGTCTTCTGATGGTTTCGCCAAAAGCGAGCCATATCCTCCAAACGTTTTGAATGAACAAGATCGTAATCTTCTAAGGTTCGCCCGGGGTGCGCCCGCAGCCAGTTGGCAACCTTGAAAACCTTATAACTGCGACCGTTTATCTCCATTTCGCGATAAACAGGCCGAAATGGACATCGCACCTTCGGCAGACCCTTCACTGCCACAAATTTCTCATTTTGACTTCGCCAGCTCCCGAAAGGGGGCCGGATGAACGACTTTCGGCGAACCCCCTGATGGACAGTGCAGAAAAAGCAAAACGCAGCTTACATAGTAAGAATAGGCGGAAGAAGGGGGAGGTATGGCATAATGCGAGACGAGCGAAATAATAATACGCCAAAGACTTCGATCATCAAAAAGTAATTAAGATTGTCACACATTCCAAATATACAAAAAAAAAAGCCTTTTTTTTTTAAGGTTTGGCGACAGCCTGCCGAATGTACACCATTCGCCTCTCCAGGCAAACTCAAAAAAGGAAGCAAAACTACAAAAACCTAAGGAAAGGGCGGAGGGCCTCACACCTCTAGGTGATCCTAGGCATCGCCTCCAACCTCTTCGCCCACCGCGTCCTCTCCTTCGCCCTGATCTGCCGCCTCCGCCTTCGCCAGTTGCTCCAGAAGGCGCGCCTTGGCAGCGGACCGGCCGTCTTTCTGCCAGAATTGTTTTCGCCACGCGCGAAGAGCGGGCGAAATATTCTGCGCACTAATCTCCCAGTCCCACTTCGCGTAGGTAGGGAACTCGGCGACGTGCTCGCAGCCGAACTGCTGCAAGAGGCCTAAGGTGAAAGCCGCCGATACACGTGCACAGCAATCGCGCCGTACGCGGTGGCGCAGTCCGAAACCAATCCGCCAGCCTGCTGGGTCCACTCGGAGAAGTCGAAGGCTGAGGCATCCTCGATAGGGACCCCCCGCACCTTCGCGCCCATGTCGGTAAGGGCGAGGCGGAGTGTTTGGCAAGCTGTTCTCGCAGATTCGGTGGTCTTCGCCATCTCCTGCGAAAACCGCTGCGACTCCTCCGCGGCACTCGCTTCGGCCCTGCTAGCCTTCTGGCGAAGAGACTCCATCTTCGGCTTAGTAAGGTTGTAATAGCGATGAGCACCGCCGAATGGGCCTTCTCCTTCTCCAGTTCGGCCGTGAGGCGATCAACCTCGGCCCAGGCCTCTTTCCCCTTGTCCAATTCGGACTGAAGGCGTTTGACCTCAGTTTTCGCCTTCTTGAGGGTGCGGACCAGGGACTCCACCTCCAGGTTCTTGCGGCTTATTTCATCATCCTTGGCCCGAAGACGGCTCTTAAAACCGTCAAAACGGGCCCGCACGGTTCGCTCTTTCGAACAGTGAGCCGCAAGAATCTAGATGAAAGATAGGAGCGGGCGAAAAGAAAAAAAGGTTAACTGCGAGACGTAAAAAAAAGAGGGAAGAGGAAAACGAAGAAGGAAGAAAAGGCATACCCGAACCGCCAGACTTTTGATGGTGGAACACCCCTCGTCGAACTCGTTAAGTTCGGTGAACAGGCTCGGGGTGCCGGCGGGCAAGAAAGATTGCTTACTCCCTCCACAAAGGGAATAAGGTCCGGCCGGGTCTCGAAGTCACCAGGGGCGAAGTGGGGCGCCGCAAGGGAATACTCCGAGGCAAATGCTTCGGCGGCCGCACACTTCCCCTTCGCCTTGGCCAGCGGCGAAATGGCTGGCTCGCGCACAGGGCTCCCGAAAACCCTCGCCGCAGCCGACAAGATCCGTTCGGCGGAGGCGGAAGCCCCGGCGGCGGCGCTACCGCCTGCCCCAGCAACGCCGAGCGGAGCAAGGGGAGCAGCCGAAAGGTCCAAACTGCGGCCAGCAGGTGAGGTCGGAGTCTCGTCAGAAGACTCGTCGTCGCTGAAAACGCGAGCGATGTCGAGGAATCCCTTCTTTTTTAAGATCTTCTTGACCAGACCTCCTTTCGCCGCCTTGCCCGACGAGAACGCAACTAAGGCCTTCGCCCCTTCCAAATCCTTTCGGCGAAGAGGGGAGCTGTTCGACTCCACCCCAGTCTCGTTGTGATCTGGACTTGGGGTAGGAGTGTAGCCGGGGGTGTCGACGCGGTCTTCGGTCGCCTCGTTCGCGGCCTTATCAGCCACAGCCTCCACCTCCTCCTCTTCCTCTCCTTCCTCCTTGCCGTCACGTTCTTCGGCATCATCCTCGTCATCGGCGTCGGAGTCAGACGAAGCAGGAACCCTTCGCTTCCTGGGGGCAAGCTTCACTTGTCCACGCATCCGCTTTCGCGAAGGGCCCGCATCGTCATCGGCTTTTTGGGGATTCGCCCAGGGAGGCAGTTCGCCGTTGTAAACCCGGTTCGCCCGCCCAGCCGCTTGTCACGTTAGCAGCTGGCTATACTCGACTACCGAAACATCGCCGATCATCCTGCGGGCTTCGGCTTCGGCCTAGTTGAGGGTCGACACTGTAAAAGTAAAGGGTGTAGCTGCGTTAAAGGTCAGACAAGACAAAATAACAAAACACAGGAGTGTATAGCAAAAGAACGGTCTTACTGTTCGTCCCCTCAGGAAGAACCAAGTTCGGCAAACCGTCAGCTTCTTCCCATTGCTCGATCGTGACTTGCCACGACTAGGAGAGGGGAAAGATGCGAAGCATACAGAACTCCTCCACCAAGTCACGGCAGCTAAGGCAGGAGCAAACCTTGCACAACAGGACGAACCGCGCCTCCATAGCGCCGTCCACGGCGATCTTGGGTTTTCGGTTCGGCGCAATCGCCCTACGCCGGCACCGGAGGGCTTTTGCCGAGTCAGAACCAGCCGCGAAAGGGATGGTGTGATAGAACCACCTCGACATGGCAGCGTTCACCGGCCAGAGATCGGACCGCTCGGGGCGAACACCGTCTTCTTCGTTCCAGCCGGGGTAATCACCGTCTTCGAGTTCACGGTGGCGATGAATATGGCGCCGAAGAGCTCGGCGCTAGGCTCAAACCCGGAAGTCCGGCATGCCCAGTCAAAGATGGAGATTCAAACTAGCGCCGCCGGGCTCAACTGCGGAAGCTCCACCTGGAAAAGGCGAAGGATCTCCGGCAACAACACGTTGCACGGAAACCGTAGCCCCACCTCAAAAAAGGCGGCGAACACCACCGTCCGGTTGTCGATAGGCTTTGGCACCACGGCCTTCCCTGGGGCGAAAGCTTGCCCCGCGACCAACGCCCCAGAGCTGACCAGCTTCGCCAGCTCAACGTCGTCCACAAGAGAGACCCCCAAAAAGGCGGTGCTGTCATCATCGACTCGGCCGGGATCCAGCCCTTTCGCTGAAGCAGGGTTTGGCTTGCGAGGGGCCATGGAGAACGGTGCGTTTACGGTGACGAAAAAAGAGATTGGGCGAAACGCCTGAGGGGTCGAAAGATGCTGTGGAAGGAAGAGACGGAGGAAGAGAGCGCGCACGGTAAAATGGCAAGTGTGGTGGTGAAAAGGAAAGAGCAGTGGGAATATATAGCCCACCCAGGCGACCGTTCGCCTACCCACCAGTAATAAAGCGCCACGTGTCGCAAAGGTAGGCGAAACGGTAAATTCCCACCGATCGAGCAGCACAGTAAAAAGCCCACGATGGGAAGGCCCAATACTGTTCTGTTCGGCCCAGGAAAAGAGAATATATATAACCACCAATCGCAGGAGGCGAAGCGCGGCAAAATAATACCAGCCGCACAAGTAACAAACTTCATTCGCAGGAATAATGTAGGTTTCGGCAGGAGCATCGGTCGAAAGGGGGCGCTGCATACCATACCACATGGTTTGCACGGTCTCGGCCGAAGCTCCAATCTCACCCTTACCCGTGAGGGGCTTGTTGGCGGATGGCATGAGGCCCTTCGACTAAATCTGCCGAAACCCGTGGCGAAGGCTATGAAGCAAGAACGGCGCGAGGCGAAGAGTCGTACGAGTGCCTTGCCAGGCCAGAGGCGTCTCAGGCGAATGGTGTAAGGCGAAGACTACCTGCCGAAGGAAGACGACTTCGCCATGACAAGTTCGCCCCCGCGAGGGCCGAGGAAGCCTTTCCGGCCCATCAAGCCTAAGGGCTATAGGGCCGGCGATCGCCAGACGGCCCATCAGGGGCCCATGAGCCCCTATAACATTATGTACCCCTATAAATGTCCCTTTTATAAGGGTAATCATGTAAATTCCCCTGTACAACCTAAACCCTGGTAGTAAGAACCTGTAATGGGGCTATAAATAGTCCCCTAGGGCCATGTAATGGGGGGATCCCAAGTGAAATTCAAAATTTAATACATTTCATTTTTCCAACCACTGTTGAGTAACCACGTCTTTCGACGTATGCAGTTGTCGTTTCGACAACATTATGTATCTGCTAGCATACTGTTTGGTAGCATTAAAACAAACAAACAAATTAAACAATAGTAATAATGCTTGTTCTTTTTTGTAATTATTATTACTGTTTGCTCTAGGGCCATTCACAGTGCAAAATACTACTACGAGAAGCCTCGTAGTGCCACATAGGACAGAGACACATGTCTCAAATGACTTTCTCCCCACAGTGCAAAGTAGCTTTTTAGAGATGTTTCAGTCTTGCATGCCAGACCCCTTTTTTTTAATTATAGTCCCCATATTTTGTAATTTACAGGAAACCACAATATTTTGCCCCAAACACCACATAAATTAGAAAAAGAAATATAAATTTTGCACCTCCCCTTCGCTCGCAAGGAGGCCACCCTCTATCTCCTCCGTGCACCGCGCACCCTCTCCCGAACTGCACCGTCGGCTCTCCTTCTTCCCCGCCCCATGCCGTAGTCCTGGATCTGGTCAGTGAGCTTCAACCTCGGACATCCAAGGGAAAAAGTGGGGGTGATCTAGTACTACTATGGTGTTTAGTCCACATCTCTATGGTAGTTGCTTTTGCACCATTTGTAGCAGCCTCAAAGTATATATGGCCAATCTTGCAATCACCTACTCATTGTTTGTTGGTGCCTTTCTTATGGAAGTATGTGCTATCGGCATTGTGATATTGTCATCAATGACATAGGCACATTCGAGAACCCATATGTCTTAGTTTATCTATCAGGAAGACCATTGAGGAGCAGAGAAGTTAGTGGTGTCAATTTCTATGGGGCAACTTAGCCTAACAACATATGTAAATTTTACATCATAGGTCCACACCCAGGATGATGTTGAAGGCACGTTTCCTCTAATTTCAGAGGATAAACTTTTGGATTAAAATGACACGCTTTTCAAACTGCTAAACGGTGCATTTCGTGCGAAAACTTTCTATATGAAAGTTGATATAAAATATCAGATTAATCCATTTTTTAAGTTTGTAATAATTAAAACTTAATTAATCACACGCTATTACCACCTCGTTTTACGTGAAACACTTAATCTTTATCTTCATCTTCATCTTCAGGAGATTCAAACACCACTGGCTTGGATACGATCCATATAGATGAATCATGAATGGCACGTACAAACACGTCCAGTGGTGGTGGCAATTAATGAATTTTCATACAACTTTATAGTAATCCTTATTATATGCTGATGTTGGAGTTCAGATGCTTTCCTGCTGCTTATTATTGAATGTAAGTCATTGATATTGTTTGATTTGTCTTCAGTTTTGATGTGTTCTTTGTTCTTGGTTTTCTTCGGCTATATGATATCTCTCGGCTATATGCTAGCTTCAAAATTTTCACTAAGGTGGCCACTAATAGAATAAACAGGTGGCTGACCGTATAGTGAGTCCAACTCAAACAGCTTTCATGAGAGGTCGCAACATCCTAGATAGGGTTGTTGTCATACATGAAACTGTTCGTGAGTTGCATCGCAGGAAATTGAGTGGGGTCATCCTTAAGATTGACTTTGAGAAGGCTTATGACAAAGTAAAATGGCCTTTCCTACTACAAACTCTTCGCATGAAAGGTTTCTCGCCAAGATGGATTTCTTGGATTGAGTCCTTCATTTCGGGAGGAAGTGTAGCAATCAAAGTTAATGATGACATTGGACGGTTCTTTCAAACAAAGAAAGGCCTTCGACAAGGTGATCCGCTATCTCCCATTTTATTCAATATTATAGCGGACATGCTAGCGGTTATGATCCAGAGAGCAAATAATGCAGGACAGCTTGTTGGACTGGTGCATCATCTCATTGATGGTGGATTGTCCATCCTCCAATATGCTGATGATATTATACTCTTTATGGAACATGATCTAGAGAAAGCTTGTAATCTAAAAATGTTGTTGAACGTTTTCGAAGAATTATCTGGCTTGAAGATTAATTTCCATAAGAGCGAGCTTTACTGCTTTGGTGAAGCCCAAACAGCTCAGGATCAATATACTAATCTTTTTCAATGTGAGGTTGGTTCTTTTCCATTCCATTACCTTGGCATTCCTATACATCATAGGAGACTTCGTAATTCGGAGTGGAAGGAAGTGATTGAATGGCTTGAAAAACGGTTGGCAAGTTGGAAAGGCAAACTTTTATCACTTGGAGGGTGACTAACACTAATCAATTCAGTGCTTACCAGCCTACCAATGTATATGATGTCCTTTTTGGAAATACCTAAAGGAGTGATCAAGAAGATTGATTATTTCCGATCAAGGTTCTTTTGGCAAGGGGATGGACACAAAAGGAAATATAGACTAGCAAGGTGGGACATCATATGTTGTCCTAAAGACCAAGGGGGGTTGGGAATTCAAGATCTTGAAATTAAGAACAAGGCTCTCCTTAGCAAGTGGTTGTATAAACTACTCACTACAGATGGTGTGTGGCAACAAATGCTAAGGAATAAATATTTGGGGTCACAGCCTTTGTCTCAAGCTCAGTGGAAAGCAGGAGACTGACACTTTTGGGCTAGTCTAATGAAGGCCAAGCCTGATTTTCTCAGGTTTGGCTCCTTCAACATCAAAGATGGCTCTCAAGTTCGGTTTTGGGAAGATAAATGGTTGGAGAATGCCTGTTTAAGAGAACAATATCATTGTCTCTATAACGTTGTTAGGCATAAACATGCAACTATTTCAGAAATTTTCCAAACCAGTCCTATAAGCTTTTCTTGGCGCAGGGACCTTACTGGCTCTAAGTTAGTGGCGTGGAATCACCTTCTCTCACGCATCGCTAATATTATATTATCTCACGACCAAGATGAGTTTAAATGGAATCTAACCACTGATGGGAGATTCTCGGTTAAATCTCTTTATCTTGCGTTGGTGCAGACCGATGTTCCCAATATAAACAAAAGAATCAGGAAGATCAAAGCCCCTCTAAAGATTAAGATCTTCTTATGGTACTTACGTCATGGAGTAGTCTTAACAAAAAATAATCTTATTAAAAGGAATTGGAGAGGAAACAAGTCTTGTTCTTTCTGCCACAAAGATGAAACTATTAATCATTTGTTGTTTGATTGTCGTTTTGCCCGCGCAGTTTGGTCTTTAATCCAGTTTGCTTCGAATATTAGTTTACCTAATAGTACAACTCATATGTTTGGGCATTGGATAAGAAGACAACCACGCAATTTGAGATCTTTGGTCTTATTAGGGGCAACAACCACTATTTGGTCTATTTGGCTTTGTAGAAATAATGTGGTTTTTGAAAGAAAAAACATATCTTCTCCTTTGCAGGTTATCTTGGCTCCGCTCATAGGCTATCCTTCAGAAGGTCAATTTGCGGGGTACTATCATTGCGGCTTGTCAACAATTGGAGCTAGTGGCCATGGAGTTTTCTACCCCGGCGCATGGGTGGCGTTCTAGGCTACGGTTAGAGGGCTCCTGAAGTTCTTTTTGTCCCTGCTATTTGGATGATGAGTTTATCTTTTGTTTCTTTCTTGTTGGCTGTGTGCACTCTTTGGGTGCAGAAGCCGGAGGTGCTCTCAGAATAATTGTTTCACTTGATAGAATTTTACTGAGATTAATAAAGCTTCCATTATCTTAAAAAAAAATATGATATCTCTTAACTGAGCTTTCTAGCTCTTCCGATTTCGGTTCTTAGTCTTTATTTTTGCGGATTGTCAGGCCAACGAATCAACCTCAATGTAACTTACTGAGTTCAAGAAAGCTTTTACTATTAAAAAAACAAATCAACCTATTTGGTTGTTTGATTTCTGGGTTAGAAATAAGATTTTTGCCGTAGAAATGCAGCCTGCAGGGCTGAATAAACAACGGACGGCTGCTGCTGTTTTTGCGTCCCAGTCACTCTCATTTGATAGAGAGAGCCAGTGTCTTTAACATCTGAAGCTGCTGTTCAACACCTGCAAACCCAGTGCCACGTTCTGAACCTGCAAGCTTCTGCTTGTGACGTTGTCAAGCTCCAACAATTCATATCAGCTAACTAGTAGCATTATAGCAAAGGTTAATATCTGCAGTGTCATAATTGCAAATCCCCCAAAATAAACAATGCTCTTTTCCTACTCTCTGTTAGCTAAAAACAGTGTAGCCAAAGGTACGTTTCTCGAATCATCTGAATCTGAATGATACACGTTAGAAGCACAGCAAGCACTTGAAAATTCAAGCTTCTCCAAACTCCAAAGCCCTCACATAGTTCAACCAACTCTAAGAAAATGTACACAGGCACACTACCGATTATAGTTATCATCAACTATAACTCTGACTACACCTTTGCTTCCAAGAATTAATTGTACAATTTGTCAAGAGATCATATACTCAATTGCAAAGACTACCACAGTTGGAAATGGTACATGTCTAGTGCATAGCATAACCCACCAGGGGTTCTCACTAGAATCTACTCTTGGTTCTATCGGTTAACCACATCGATTGGATTGTGTTAGCTGCGTATCATAATTCAGATGGTTAATCGATGACATAGTTCGGATTAACTGCCAGGATTCTGCTCTCTGATGTTCTTCGTGCAGCACCGTCGTCAGCCGCTGGGGCTGCTCCTTCGTCTATCACTATGAGATGGCCATCCCTCTGTATTAACCTCTGCATTTGCAAATCGATTGATAACTTTTAGCAACATGGAAAGCTGAGGTAATGCTCAATATAAATGGTCAATGTTGAGCTTGCAGTGCAGGCAAATTGATGCAGCTAAATGCCTTAAATGTAGTCTTGTTAGGTTAATTTCCATACCATACTGTTGAACTGATAGGATCAATGCAGGCAAATTGATACATAGATGATAAGATCAATGAAGGCTTTTACCTCTATGATGGCCTTGATGCACTTCACTTCTTCCTTCACCTCTGCTGTAGAACTATAGGCTCCTTGGGCATTCTGCTGCTCAACATACCAAATTATCAGATCCCCTTGCTTCATGCCAGCCAGACCATCTCCTGCAATTCAATGTTGGAACATGTCAGTTTGACATCTATATCAGCTGGAGGTCTGACAAGGATCATCCTTGTTCATAAAAGGAAACACTTAGGGCGGCACAAGATGAACTAAAAGCAATGACTTATACAGGAGCGGAATTAGATAGCATTAAGTCCTAACAATATAACGAGACATCAACATGGTGAAACCTGAATAGACATAACTACAATTTATGCTTACTACACTGTATAAATGGTTGGCGTACAAGTTAATCACATTGATGCATCTACAAGCCTGCATGAGGCTCCACATCAATTTTAAGAAGATGCATATATCTTTCTAGTAAGATGTAAGAGAAGAACAAAAGCTAAAGCAATACAATAGTACTAGACAATTATTGCAAATTATGTTTTTCTAGAATATAAACAAAGGATTTATTAATTTACGCAATTAAAAAGAATTGCTCGCCAACCTAGACCTCTGGAAGCTGTAATCTAGACGAGATCGTAATTTCATTTGTTCTCGAGAGAAAGCATGTCTCAGAAATGCTGCTCATAATTATGTAAGTAAATCACAACTAAGGATCTTGTTACTCCTTATATGGGACATAAGCAGTAAAAATTAATTCACTTATTTGAACCTAAGCAGATATTACTATGCTTCTTCTACAGTTGGAAATTGCTAGGGTAAGGATACAAAATAGCGAATAAGTCAAAACAAAACAAATGGAAAGGTAGTGTAAAATCCAGTATCAATACCATCTTTCGTGACAGACTCTTCATGCTGCCGTAGTCTCATAACTAAAGCTTGCGTGACTCTCTGGAAATGTTCTTCGGTTATAACCAACTTCTTCTTACCAGTATCTGCCGCTTGCTCATTTTCTACATTTTACATTAAAAACAAGGTACCGGAATGATCAGAATAATAGCAAGAACACACAAAAAAGCCATTTTAATAATAAGGGGAAACCTACCTGGACCGTCTTGTTGAGGAGCAGCATCCATTTCTGTTGGCTGACCAGCATCATTATCGGCTGGTACATTTGTGCCATCATCAGCATCTTGGAAATCAGAGAGATCAACTTCACTTGATTCCACGCTGCACAATTAATAAGATTTTGTTAGCAAATCATCATGCAAATGATGGATGGATGTCTTGAGCAATTTCAAGAAACTTGCCTGATGATGGATGTCTTGAGCAATTTAACTGCCATGCGAACATGGGCTGGGAGAACCTGTGAAATTAATCCCAAATGAAGTCAGCAGAAATATTATGCCGTAAGGTGAAAAACCCCAATGCAAAGGGAGGGAACAAATGTCAGCCTTTTAAATTTAACACCACAACCAACTAATAATACTATTCCTGATTGTTGAACTTAAGTTAATTTATTTAGACACCATACTGCATAATCTAAAAAACATGCAATATATGAATGAGGATTTTACTTACAACTCTTTCCAAATGACTTCGGGCAATAGCTTCTGAAAGCCTGATTAATGCCTCTAGTTGCCTAACTGTCATCCTATAAGCAACCCTAGTACCAGGGGTACTATCTCCTCTACGAAGGGTAACATATGATTCAACCAGAACTTTCTTTGCTTCAGAACTCAGCTGCATTGACATAAAGCATCTATAAGTTGATGACAAGTTGAAAGTTATATATGAAGTGCATAAAGATATAAACCTGAGGTTTCAAGGACTTCGCAAAAGCAATGTAACGTTTCAATTCTGCCGTGCTAAATGCAGGGGCAAGTGCTTCTTCACGTTTCTGATGGACCCTCACAATGTGATGAGCAATGTGGTAGTCAGTGTTTTCATCAGGCTCATCGATCATTATGTATACCAGATCAAATCTTGAAAGAATAGCTGGAGGCAATGCCACGTTATACTGATAAGGATTGCAACGATTGAAATATTAGATCTCAGCACTGAAATTTTACCACAACATGTCAACAAAATACAGGGATGCAAAAGTTTTTCAGAAGTACTTGGAAGTACAATTTTTTATAATTTGTTAGGCTTACCTTGAGTGGTTTTGACTTGTCATAACGCCCTCCTGTGGGATTTGCTGCTGCCAAAATTGAAGTCCTTGCATTCAAAGTTGCTTGTATTCCTGCTTTTGTTATGCTAATGGTTTGCTGTTCCATTGCTTCATGTATAGCAACCTACAATGGAGAAATGAAATTGGGACACTCACGTTCAATAAGAAAAGAGGCAACAATAGGTAAAAGTCGGCAAGCCTACCTGATCTTTGATGTCCATTTTATCAAATTCATCAATGCAGCAGATGCCATTATCAGCTAACATGAGTGCTCCTGCCTGCAAAAATAACCAGTAGCAGCAGAGGAGGTAAGGCAATAGAACAGAAGAACTAGGAAGATTGCACACAAAGTGCATCCAAGCTCATTGGAGTTCAATTTAGTTGAAGCATGCAATTCAAAGCAAAGGTGCACTTCTAAATATGTATTAGCAATACAAATGGATGGAATCGCAAAATTTTGATAATACCTCAATGCAAAATTCGCCAGTCTCTGGTTCTTTAGCAACAGTTGCTGTCAAACCAGCAGCAGATGAGGACTTCCCTGATGTGTAAACAGATCGTGGAACAATACCAGCGGTATATCTGAGGATTGGATTAATAGCACATTTGTGATGATTCATGAATAAATTTCATTAAGATGAATGGAACTTATAACAAGATAGGAAGTCCAATCCAAGAACAAAATTACATGAGCAACTTCTGGATTTTATGTCAAGTTGTCAACCCATAAATATCATTCAGAAAAACATTGTTAAAAAGCTTATAGTAACTTAAATTCAACTAGTAGACTAATCAAGATGTATTGCATCATGCTGAGGGACCCTTATCAGAAAGCAATGGTCGTTTATGCACACTAACATATGATCTGGTGAAGCAGCAGAATAGATTTTATATATCCCAGAATGACAACATTGAATGATGGAACTTAAATTTTATTCATCACAGAAAAAGAAAATAAGAATCATGACAATGAGAATACAATGAGAAGCTTACTTTAAGAACTGAGACTTCGCACAACTTGGATCACCAACAATACAGACATTGATGTCACCTCTAAGGTTTATCCCTTCATGTGTTATCTTGTGAACACCACCCAAAAGCATGAGAAGGATTGCTCTCTTAATTTCTTGATGCCCAAAGACAGTGGGACATATGCTATCAACTATCTTATTGAAAAAATCAGGAACGTTCCTCATCCTAACAACTTCATCTTCCTCTTCTTCCTGTAAGAGAGAGGGGGGAGGGAGATAATTAATAATATAAACACTTTGATGACAAAAAACTATATGATCAAAAATAAAGAATATAATACACAAAAACAAAAAAGTGGAATGATAACCATTTCATGATCTAACATCCTTACATGAATATGTAACACACTAAATCAACAGTGCACCAGGATCATGCAAAAGTTTAGGGAGCTTGAATGATACTCATTGTCAAAAAAATAGAAAAAGGATGCTGGTATGGTTACACCTATCCATGCCAGCCTGCTAGCATGCAACAGAATGTTCGAATACCATGTAAACAGAATTTCTCATAGTTCTTTTTACAAGGCTAGTCCCTTTTCCTTCTTCGAAACAGAGTAACTAGTCTCGAGTCTGAATTGAACTTACAGTGAACTTCTGTCTTTCGCTGTCATCTCCATCTATGTCCCTGTCCCGGATGTCGACTTCTCTCCTTCCATCCGCCACCTAATAACATTAAAGAGAAAGGTTAACCTTGTAATAAAAATATTATAACCAAGCTAACCAGATCGATATTTATTGCTGGAAAGAGGTCATACCTGCACTGAGTTTGCTACAAAAGCAAGGCGATATGACAGATCTCGTACTCCTAGTGATTTCAAGCCCTTGACACCTTCTTGGACACCAGACCCATTCTTTCGCTGAGGAGCCTCCCGGCGACACTCTGCTCTCTCACCAGGTGAAGTTAGAGCCATAACATCAGGAACAGCAACAACAGTTCCAGTAAATATGACCCTGAAAATGACCGAAACAGAATACTTTAATGTGAAGCCAATCCAGTGGGTACAAAGCAGTTCCAGCAAGAGTTCCTCACGTGTCTCCAGCTCTAGCCTTCTCAACAATCTCATGCCTCAGAATGACATCCAGGGAGCGTGGTAGTGAACCAGCAGGTATTTCTTTTGATGTCTCCTGCATCCTGACCCGCTGCCAATCTGTGAACTTGCTCTCTTGTCGGAGAAGGGCCCATTTTGATCGATTTTGGCATGTTGCATTGACACATATTATTGGCTGAAGTTAAGGAGCAGAAACCTTTCATTAGACACATTGCATGAGAGAAAAAAGTAGAACATAAGGTTCACAGTTACAACCTCAGTATACTTGAACTGCTGCTCAACATTCTTTACAACATTTCCACAGTCAAGGCACTTGAAGGTGCCTTGCAGTAACTCAGGCCGGACCTCACTTGTCCGTGTAACCACCCCCATTACAGCCGTGAGCTTACCAATCTCTGCTGTTCCAAGCTCCCTCAACCTATTACAACAACAATTTAAGTCAATTGTTATGGCAACCATCATACAATTTAGCATAAAACCTATGACAAATTAGAAATGCAAGATAAAAAGTGAGACATAATTTTCTACCAAATGTGGGAAACGTACTAACATGAAATTCCAGGGGCAATGAGCCCCACCCTTGAATATATGTATATATCACACTTTTGTAGTGAATTTCAGGACATTTGCAGAATTCGTTCATTTGCCGTCAGATAACTGTTATTTCCAGAGTTAATTTTACAGGGAAAAAAAAACTGTTACACCTGGAGGAGCAAGTGCGGACCTCTTCAGCATTGGTATGTTGTAGAAGGCAATGTTAATGTCCTTGTTAGGGCTATCATCAGAGATGATTGGTGCACGGTTCTCGCCAGTCCTCTGCTCCATCACAAACCTCTTGCACGCATTCCGGAGGTACGGCTCGAACCTGATGCAATGAAATCCACATAAGCAGTCAGTTCCAAATTGTCGTCACAGATGAGCAAATTAATTTGTATTTTTTCTAGGAAAAAAATTCTATTTGTGCTAAGTACACATCAACCGAGTTCTCTGAACAAATCCGAGCAAATCCAGGGACAGATCCCAAAATTTCCCAATCTGAACTCCCCACCAAAAAAAAAATTTCAAATCAAATCAAATCTCACCTGAGATACTCCTCGGAGATGGCCTTCTGGAGGACGTCGTTGAATCGCATGACGTGGGCGAAGTCGACGTACATGGTGGTGGACTCCCGCGACCGCATCGCCTCCAGCTCCGTCTCGTAGAACGCCTCCGCCGCATCCGCCTCCTTGAACCTACAGATCCAAGTTTCAACAAAAATAAAATAAAATAATCCCCCACCTCACGCGTCAGACGAACCGGAACCCCGCTTAAACCCTAGAAATGGAATGGAAGGAGACGGCTCCGGCCTTACCGCCTGAGGAACTCGAGGAAGATGTTCTCCACCCGCGCCGCCTTCTCGTCCACGAAGAACCCGCCGAACGCCTCCATCTCCGACGAGACCTCTCGAAACCTTGCGCGGGGTGGGGGGGATTTGCGCTGTGCGGCTGCGCGGGTGGTGCGGCGGGGGCGCGAGGGTTTTGGTTGGGGGAACAAGTAGAAGAAGAACAAGGTGGGTGGGGGTGGTGTTCTTGGCGGGAAGGAGGAGGCGGCTTGGCGCCAATTCTTCCCGCCAAAAATGAGGTGGTGGTGTTCCGTGGACCGCGTCCGGTGAACCGGAGGCAGTTGGCTGTCGCTGGCATGTGGGGGCCCAAGAGTTGACGAGATGAGACCACCAGTCCACCAGCGTGTGTGCACGTGATGCTATTGGATTGGGCCGTGATGCTTTTGTTGTTCTCCAGATGGGCTGTGGTCCAACAGGCCGCATTCTGCAATAATAAATGGGCTGCCGTTGTTCTAGCCTTCTATGTGGTTTTTCAAATAGCATTACCGTTTCCTCTAAACAAAGTTTTTTTTTTAACGAACCGGCACATGATTGTGTCAATTTCATTGAATATAGTAGAGAAAAAACATAAACTCTGGGATGCTATAATCAAGAAAACAAAAAGGAAAATAAAAACACACCATCACCACATGCTAACAGCTCCAAACACACCCTTGGGGAAAATAAATAGTATATAACAAAAGTATTGCAAATAAAATTACACTACAGTTCTTGTGCTCTTTCTAAGAAAGAAAAGACGTAAATATTAGAAAATGACATAATATTAATTAATTAGAAGGGGTGAGCCTTCGAACTCAAGTCATCTAGCTCACCATCTTGTGGAGCTAACCAGAAAACCCCTGGACGTTTCTCTACTCTTTCTAAGGGAATGTACATGCATTTTACCCTCGAAATATTGAAATTTTACATATACCTTGGTCGAAATCTACAACCTCACTAAGATCGGCCATTCGAAATTACAATGTCCCGGAACAAAAAGGATTCCGAGATTTTAACCAATTTAATCTTCTCTCGAATTCTTTAGTTCTCTTGATCTCGGAGAGAAAGGCTCATTGATCGAAATATGGCTGTACATAAGGAAAAGCAATATGAAACCTAAAAGAGTGAGAATTCTCAAAGTTGTCAAGGACAACTTATTCCTACAATTTTTATAAGAAAAATGAGCTTGGGGTCTTACATCTTGTACTTCTTCTTTGCATCTCAAATATTTTGCATTGGGATGGAACTGTTCAGTAAGTTTGCATCATGGGCATTAGAGCCTGCATGCTATTGACAAAGAAGCTGTTGCGCACGAACAGCAATCCCTGCCTTAGCTTGATTGAGTATCCCAGTGCGTAAGGGTTTGCAGTGATAATGGAATTGAACTAGATGCATATTCTTTCCATGGATTCTATAACGTCCCAATGCCTACCATTCTCATGCATGCTAACTCATAGCTAACACACAGTTATTCTATGGTGGATGGAAGTAATATATACATCCCTAGGAAGCAAAAGATATGATAAGTTGAGAACAAACCTAAAATGCAATTTGGAGCACCATTTTATTCCCTATCTCAGTGAGACACCATATGTGTTGGTTACAACTTATGAGGAGCTAGCTGCCTGTCTGTGCTAATATATTCACCAATGGGAGAACCAAAGTGTTACTAGGGATAAGGATTTGTTTCTACCATCTACGGTCTGCAATCAATTTACGCCTATCACATAGAATTAATTGTTTTCACAGAGAAATGGTATCAGCTCAGTCCTGAGACTTGTGGTTCTTCGGTTGGGCTTGGGTCCAATAAGAGCATCTCCAACAGATTGGCTATTTTGATCTCTCCAAATACTCATTTGGCCAGCCATAAAATAATTGGAGAGCTAAATTTGCCTTTTACTCCAATAGCCTCTCTATTCACATTCTCCAATTTAACATCGGGTCCCACATGTCAGTCTCTCATTCCTCCTCCTCCTTCACATTCTCTCCGATGCGGGCATGGAGGTCGACGACGGCTAGGGGCAGCGGTCGGCGGCCGGTGGCTGGCGTCGCAGGCGAAGTAGAGAGAGATGCGGTGACGGCGAATGCGCATAGGTTGGCGGTCACGGCCAGCGGCGGCGGCGGAGGCTCGCGACGATGACTACCTCGGCAACACGACCTCAACGACGACCTGGGTCGCGGACGGCGGCAGCGGTCACGGCCGGGAACGGCAAGGAGGGCGGCGGTCGGCGACGGCGCGGAGGGCGGCGGTCGTGGCCGGCCAATGCAAGAGAGGACTGGACGAGGCGAGAGAGGAGTGGACAAGCAGACGAGGAGACGAGACAGGGGCGGCACCGCGGAAGAGAGGCGCAGAGGGGCGGTGCTGGCGGAGTGGCGTCGCCGGCGCGCTGGATCTGGCGAGCGGTGGGAGTAGTACTAGTACACGGGAGGGAGAGAGAGTGAGAGGGGGAAAAGCGTGGGGCCTACAAATGGCTAGGCCTTTTTTGCTGGCCAAATTTGGCCAGTGCGAGGAGCACTTTGGCCAGCCGGATGGCTTGGCCATACGGTTGGCCAGTCCGTTGGAGCACGAATTTTTGTCAAAATTGCTAAAATTTAACTTGGAGAGTAGACTAAGGAGGCTGTTGGAGATGCTCTAAGCGGTCTTATGCAAATGGGCTACCGTGCCTTGTTCGTTCTAGCCTTCTACCCATTGTCGGTTTTGAAATTACATTAACATTTCCTCAAAACAAATAAATTTCAAATAAAAATTACATCACAAGCCTTGTTTCTTTCTTAGGGAAAAACATGATATTCCCCCTCTGGAGATATTGAAGTTTCTACCTTTAATCAAAATTTACAACCTCATTATCCACCTAAAGAAAATACTACTTGACTGGGTCGAAAATACTACCTGACTAGGTCGACAATCAATATTGCAATGTTTCATAAGAAAAGAAAATTCAAAAATGTAATTATTCTTTGGTTTTTCTTGACCTTGGTGTGAATATTCATCTATCGAAGGTAGGGCTGCATTATGGACAGTTATAAGGAAAAACAAAGGAGTTGTTATTTTTCTACAAAGTTGTCAAGGACTAATTACCCATGAGTTTTATAGGAAAAATAGCATGAATTCTTAGGCCCTTACATATCATTTTCCTCTCTTTGTGCCTAGAATGGATTGCTATTTACGACAATTCTATGACGTATTACATTCGGTCAAGGCTGGCTCTATATTTTAGAGAACAACCAGCCTAGGCCTCTAAGATGGCCCTGCTTTTAGTTGACCTGCAATTTTCCAATTTTTCTTTAAAATTGGAACTAAACCAGGCTTTATAGCAATTTTAGAGGTTTAGTTCCCAACTTTTTCTTTAAACTTCCAATTTTTCCATCACATCAAAACTTTCCTACACACACAAAACTTCCAACTTTTCCATCACATCGTTCCAATTTTAATTAAACTTTCAATTTTAGCGTGAAGTAAATACACCCTTAGTTGGATGCTATAGGGTTGCATGTTGTTGACGAACATACTTTGGTGTCGCAATAGCAATCCATGTCTTTGATTGCGTATCTCACACCGCATAAGGCTGTGCAGAAAGAATTGGGTTGAACTAGCTTCATGTTATATTTCTGGATAGTATGGCATCCCAATGCCTTCCATTCTCATGCTAATTAACTCACTACTTAACACGCAGTCAATAATTATCACTTTTGATTCTATGGTGGATGGAAGTATCCCTAAAAAGCAAAGCCATGAAAACCAGCCTAAATGAAAATTTGTGAGCGACATTTCTGAATACATAGCTCAGGGAGGCACCATATGTGTTGTCTGAGGAACTCTCTACTATGCCTAAAATATTTACATGGAGGAGAACCAAAGTGTTAACTAGGGACAGGGATATTGAAGGCTTTGTTTCCACCCTCTACAGTTTGCACTCAATTTATATCTACCATGTGAATTGAATGTTGTCCTAGAAAAATGATACTCCCTCATTCCCTAAATGTTTGACGCCATTGACTTTTTTAAACATGTTTGACCGTTCGTCTTATTCAAAAAATTTAAGTAATTATTAATTTGTTTCTATTATTTGATTTATTGCTAAATATACTTTTATGTATACATATAGTTTTACATATTTCATAAAAGTTTTTGAAATAATACGAATGGTCAAACATGTTTAAAAAAGTCAACGGCGTCAAACATTTAGGAAAGAAGGGAGTAATACCTAGACCAGGAAGTTATATGTTGCTCCACAATACTGAACCGAAGCAGGCATCCCTAGTATCAACTGATTAACCACAACGCTCTCGAGCGGAGGAGCAAAACAACCTGTGAGGCCGCCGTCATGTTAATGACTCAAGAGGCAGTTGCTGCAAGACGGAGCAATTGTAGAATTTCGTCTCAGAGGCAGCTTGGTCCTGGCGGATCCACACACATTAGTGTTGGCTGCTCGCGTAGTCGAACTAACTAGTTATAGCTACAGAACCTTCCATATCTGAGGCCTGTAACATTTCTAGAATTAGCGGGCCATCACAAGAAAGTCATCTCAATCGGGTCGAAAAAATGCCCGATTGAGATATGGTCGTATAGACATGTTAGATGGGCATAAAACTCAGGCCCATCACAGATGACACATATCAGTGTCGGGCCGTAGTTTAGACCTGATTGAGATAACATTTCATATCTCAATCGGGTCTTAAGTTGGCGCCCGCCACGGATGACTGTCCCGGGTGCACAGAGTGAGGATAAAGTGTGTAGAAAAGACTAGCCCGGCCTATGAGAGGCACATGAGGCTAGAAAAAAACAAAATTTATTTTTTTTGGATTATACTCATCCTTGACAAGCTATAGTTTAGACCCGTTAGAGATGTGAGTCATCTGTGACGGGCTATCGTTTAGGCCCGTTAGAGATGAGAGTCATCCGTGACGGGTTTTTGTGTTGGCACGATTAAGATGTGTGTCATCCGTGATGGCCGGATGCCCGATTGAGATATTTTACCACATCAGCGACCTTTGCTCTGCGACGGGGCCCTACCCAATAGAGATGAGGCTTGCAGCCCGTTACAGATCACCGAACCCGTGCTAGTGTAGACGACACCTCCGCGCTTTGCCGCGGAAAATATATACGCTTAAAATGCACAAATTTATATTGAAAAAATATATTTAAAAATTATAATAGCCTTTCTACTTATAAACATGACTTTTGTTA